ATTTTAGGTTTTTCTATTATAATGCATTCTTTTAATTTTTGTAAAGTTCACTAACCTCAACACCTGCTTCAGTTCCCGCTGATGCCTCACGTCTCAGACTACCCTCTTCTTCAGCCTAAAATAAATTGTAAATAAACACATTATTTTGTGTAGAATAGTTAGTAGATTATGAGTTAGGTTTTGTATGTATACCATATCATCATTCACTTCTTTATCAATCTCTTCACACAATTCTGTTATGCTCCCCCATTGTGTCTGTTTTTCTTATGTCAGTCCTATTGAAAAGGACGGCAGCTCTTCAAATTCCTTCGCGTACAAATACTTCTTCATATTCGCTCTTTCAACTCTTTCAACTGCACTTATTGTTTCCGCCCAAAACGCAGCGTCTTCTATCTCCGCAGTGCTTCTTATATCAACTTCTTCTCCATCATCCACCAGCCTTTTCATCTTTCCTAGCCCAATCAACTGTTGTGCAGCTTCTTGCAATTTCTTGTACTTTTCTGATTCAGTTAAACTCCTCGGAGCTTCTTCACACATATTTATCACATCAATCACATTTTCTGCCAGCAACTTCGTTTTTGTGCGAATCTTATCACAAATTCCTGTAAATATTATAAATATTTAAAGTAAGTTCATCCACAAAATTATATACAAATTGCACAATAGTTCACTAAGATTTTAATCCATACCTCAGCAATTCCAGTAGCACTACAGTGTACAAATGGACCGCTTCCACGTTTTCCATCCATTTCTTTTTCAGAATTCAAATCTCTCTTTGGTGAAAACTCTTCAATTCCCATAGGACCATCACAGTACCCCATTCCAAACCCCCCAGACTCTATTTCCATCAATTCTCTATCTCTCAGTTGTTTTCCGCTCCACCCTTTCAGAACTGGAGAAGTCCTATCCACTTTGCGCGTGTATAAAACAACACGGTCCACATAGAACAGCTGCACAAAACATGTTTTTTTAATATATTGTAATAGTTATGAACATATAAAAGTAAAAACCATATAGACATATTTCATTTTCTTAACTTACTATTAAAAACAGCAATGGACCGGTAAAGGCCTTTTCTTTCTTCTTCTCCCATGAAACTTTCTTCTCAATTAAACAATTAATAACATGGTTGCACCAATTCAGTTCACTTATCTTTTCAACATCTTCCAAGTGATTCATTATCAGTGGAGTCACATACCCATTCTGGGTGCTATCTAGTAGCAAATACACAACAAGAACAATGAAATGCCTTTTGAACCAGTCACCTCCTTCACTTTTGCTAAGCATTGTTGCACTAACATCTGATGGGCTAATCTTATAGTCCTCTTTGTCAAATATAGCTCTCCATTCTTGCAGCAGAGCACAATCTTCATTTTTCTTCTTTTGGACAATTTTTTTCCCTCTTAAAGGAAAACCCAAGACTCTTGCAACATCCTCTTCTGTTATAAGCACAATACTCCCATCTGGCAGCACTAATGAGCATTTTTTGGGATCAAAGTTGTCAATCACCCAATAACCTAGCTTTCCAGGAATTTCAGCAATATCTAGATCAAATAGTGCACCAAATCCTATTTTTTTTAATATCTTCTTTCTGAGCGTCTGTCATCCCACTCAGAGCTTTAACTAACACATGAGGTGACGATCGTGTACGTATCGACCTATAGCCAGATTTGATCTCTTTTATACTTCTTTTCTTTGCCATATTTTCAATCAAATCAGTCTCAACACGACCAAGAATGGGTTGAACCTGAAAGTCATCATCACTTTCATCTTCTGCTCCTTGTTTCCTCTGTCTCTTCTTAACAGTCCGTTTGGATTCATTTGCAGGTGAATCATTTGTTCTCTTTCCCTTTCCTTTTGTAACAACCTGCATTGTTGTTTCTGCCATTTCTGAAATTTGAAATTTAATGCAAAATTTTAATTAATTTATGCATTTCAATAAATGGCAACTAAAATATGAGAATGCTCAATGCTCTTTATTGTATAACATTTTCACTTTACGTTACACTACCCAATTACTAAACTTTTTCACACATTATCAACGATAAGCATTCCTTAACACTTCCAATATCCATTATGCACTTTATCAAATTACAATACCACTTTTTGATGTTTCAATTACACTTTCACACATATTACACAATCAGTTTGTCTTCACATTGTTAATAAGAACAATGCACTTTCTGAAATATCAGTAGCACTTTATCAATTTGGAGTTACATTTTCATAAATTATTAATCACACTGTCAAATAATGTGTACTTACACATTTTAGCTTTACACAATGCACACAAATAATATATCAGTTTACGTTGATAAGTCCAACACTCAACATATATGTCAATGCACTTTACTTTAATTCAATGTCACTTTTCTCATGATCAGCGTATATAACATTTAGCAAGGTTCATAACAACAATACAAGTTCACAATCACCCTAAATACTATTTCAAGTTTTCTTGTTCAGGGGTGTTCATCATATATATACACAATTCATGCAAATATTTATGAATTTGTTACCTTAACTTTATGAGATTGACATAACAATAACATGATTGCATACCAATACCATCATACACATATACACTCAACTAATGCACTGTATGAGATTCACTATTCCCTCAATACGTTAAAATCCTGAACATTGACATCACAACACAATTCCCTCAATAACCATTCATTAACACTTACAACAACTATATTGCACTTTACCTAATTACAATACCACTTATTTACAATTTAATTACACTTTCACACATAACAAACACTCATTATGTCTACACAGTTTCAGCTACAAGAACGCACTCTCTTAAGTTGAAATATCACTTTATGAAATTCCACATTCCATATGTACACAATGAACCAAACCAATATATCACTTCATCGTGAACAGAACAACACACAACATATATATCAATGCACTATACTCTATCAGAGTTTCACTTTTTACATGACTATAACATTTAAAAGTTTCATAACCACAAAACAAGTTGAGAATCATCCTGAACCTATTAAAAGTACTGTTTGTTCATCATGGATATACAATATTGATGATTATTCATCCTGAACTGTTGCATTGAATTGGATGCACATTGACGGAACTTAAATTATAACTACACCTTCAATAACTTGAATTCATGCATATTGAATTTAAAATATCACTTAAAATATCACTTATCATAGTATTTGATGCAAACACGTTCAAGAACGTTCACCAGAATCTTCAAGTTTCAACATGCACTCAATCTGTAATACCAAAAAATTATACCAAATGTACAGTGACCAAATGAGTTTCGCATTTTTCGTACCTGTAGCACCTTTTCCGCTTCCAGATGCTCCTTCGGTATCGTTCGTTGATGCCATCGTCAATCCAAATCTTTGTAGGGTTTCGCCGGTTCTTGATTTTTTCTTCCAAGCGTGAGTCGAGCTCTGTCTTCAGTACAACTCTGCACAAGGCAGTTTCCTTCTTTCAAAATACCGGCACATTAACCGGCATTCTTGCCATAATTCGCCCAACCGCCTTAATTACACGCTGATTTCTTTTACCAAAATGCCCTTTAAAGACTTTTGAAATGCACGTTTGGCTTTTTAATTACTTCCACGCACGTCTCACGTGCATTTTTTAACCGCCGGAAACTTCGATCTAAGCTGCAGGATTGAAACGATGGAAGGCCAAAATCATTCTCATTTCTCTCCTGGGAGTCTATTCTCACCGGAACCCTCCCCTATATGTGTGTGTGTGTGTGTGTGTGTATTGGCACCCAAATTAGGACTACAAATAAATAATTGTAACTAAAATTGGATTTCACATAATGTAACCCTGGGCACGTACTCGATCAACTTAAGAATATTTCTTAATACAAATTAAAAATTGATTATTTCATCGAATATTTTGTTTTCATAGAGTAATAATATATTATTCATGAAGTCAATCTAATTCTCTAGTACGCCTTTATTTTGATATCAAATTTTATTATATTCATAATTACTGATATTACCGAAATATTCATTGTTTTAGTTATGACGTTTTCCCCTAAATATTACCGAAATATAACACATAAATATTACCCATTTTATGTGTCCTACTTTAGGGCTGAGGGGGTAAATTGAACGATTCGATCGGGTTCAGGGGCTTATTTGACCCGGCCCCTAAGTTTCCACGTCACATGCACAGTTGGCATCCTACCGGGTGACGTGGCGGTGACCGGATTGAAATCTGTAAAAAGTGAAATTTGAATATTTTTATCGAGTTCAGGGTGCCAATTGGAGCTTTTTTTGGGTTGAGAGGGCAAATTGAGCAATCTGAAAGGGTACAAGGACCTATTTGACCCTTTAGCCTTATTTCTTTAATAATTATCCATCAAACTAGAGATTTTAAATTAGTTATTCTGTTACTTTGTACAACATGAGCATTGTCCTTGGATGTTCTTTCTACTCTAATCCTACATTTTAAAGCTAACTGACATTAACTCATCAAGAGAATTGTTTGTTGCGTGCGAAGGTAATTCCAACCACATTGGAAGTAACATATTGCATGTCTTCATTTCAATGTCAACAATACCACATTTAAAACACATGGAATAAAACATGTAGTATTCCCATGTCTCTTGTAATGAATTAAAAATCACATAAACTACTTGCTTTGATAAGTTTTAAGTAATACACATAGTAATACTTAAATAATACTTAAAATCCTCTCAAATTTTAAACCATGTTATCATAATATATACACGGTTTAAATCCTCTCAAATTTTTAATTTTTAGATAGATTAATCATGACTGTTTATCATTACAAGACACTTTTTACGGAATATACGAAAAACAAGGAGTAAAAGTCGAACATTAAAAAGAAATGGGAGAAGGGAATTTCTTGTTTGCTCTTACCATAGAATTGGTTTCTCCTCATCCACTAAAGTTAGAGGATAAATCCAGGCCTCTCATGCAAAACCACCCTGCCCAAATATTTAAGCCACACCACAAAGCTGCAATCTCTCAAACCCAATATATTCCTTTTTAAAAGGCCATTTTCTTCTCAAGAAACAGTTCAACAATTAAAAGAAAAACATTAATAATAAAAAGCAGCATGGCAAATAAAATTCAATCTGCATTTCTCATCGCCGGCGTCATTTGCTTGGTATCTCTACTGAGCTTCGCCGACGCCGACGATGTTCCCCACTTCAAGGTTGTCGGAACAGTGTATTGCGACACATGTCGCGCGAAATTCGTGACCAGAGTCTCCGAAAGGATGTCAGGTAATTTTTGACTTCATAAAAATTAAAACTATATGCTACATAATATTTCAAGAGTAATAATCTTTACTCTTTTGAGAATAAAGCAATACTAGTTTTATTTTTGAACTTTATACGTACCGTACCTGTATGGTACGGTATATGTTTTACTCCTATTTTGAGAAATTTCTATATCATGAATGCATGCAGGTGCCAAGGTGAGATTGGAGTGCTACAACGTCACCGGCGGAAAGTTGACGTACACCGCCGATGGGGAAACCGACAGCAACGGCGTCTACAACATCGACGCCGTGGGCGAACACGAGGAGGAATTCTGCGGCGTCAAGCCGATTAAGAGCAGCAAAGAGGACTGCACTGAGATCATCCAAGACGGGTGGGCAAAGGAATTTACCAGAATTACACTCACAACCAAGAACGGGATGGTGGACAAGACCAGGAATGTGAACCCAATCTTGTACTTGAAGGACAAGCCCCTTCCAGTTTGCCCTGAGGTGTTTAAGGAATTGCATTACATCCCTGGAGAAACCCAGCATCCTTGAAGATGAGCAATGCAATTCAAGGGGGGAAAATGCTAACTTTATTTAATGGAAGTCTGAGGTTTATGTTACAAAGAAGAAAATAATCTAGTAATTAATCAATCGTGCTGTCTCAACTAGGGTTCTTGAAACGGATTATACATTTACGTGCATTAACATGTATATACAGTAATGTCGATCGAGGCCTTAGTGTGTTTTCAATATAATTGTCGCTTATATATAAGAAATAAAAGAAATCTATTATTCGTATAGTTTTCTTAAGGTTAACATTGAATGTTGCGATTATTTCTTTATTAAAATTTCTTGTTTGGCTATGCGTGATATTAATTCATTCGGGCGTAATGATGCAAGAAACATTCACTTGAATAATGTAAACATTCAGTACGTATTTAGAACATTAGATTTATATATAGGTACGGCGGCGTCAAAGTCATTTGAGAATAATGCCCGATCAAAATCTTTTGGCCCCTTGTGATCATATTCCCCATATAAAAAAGGTCTTTCTATGGTACCTCCTTTATTTATAAGTGTACCCGTACATTTTCTTAAATAGCCCACTAAAAAAATTACATTGTACATTTTCTTGCAATTGAGTCCTTGTTAGTCCCTGATTTCTAACAATCAAACAATCATAACAGTCAAGAAGAGGTAGATAGATAGATATCAAGATGATTAGATGAACAACAATTTTGGTATACTGTGAACAGAGAGAGTAGCGTTAAACCTAATCTCTCTATCTCGGCGTCTCTATACTTTAAAGCCTTATTTTTTTAGGTTTTCCATAAGTTAATCTCATTTTATAAGAGAGGATGACTAACTTATGGGTTACAAAGAAACTAATGGGTTGATATACATTTATGGCCCATATTACACATTTAATAAATAACTACACAAATACAAAGATATTTAAATAGATTGGAAACCATAAAACATTCCCAACAATCTCCCACTTGGTGTTCAATCATGTTGAATCAGCATTGCAGCGCAGATATCTTTGTCTTTGTTGTTATTCAGCTTCCTTTGTCTTTGAGCTTGACTTCTTGAGAAGGCTTTCTGAAGAAATCCTTGCAATCTCTCATTTGATGTCTTCTTTGCAATTTGACCTGTGATAACGGGGGTTGAGGAATCTCGAAAATCTTGCTTGTAATCCTTGCTTGCCAGAAGTAGCTCTTGATCAGCTTGAATGAAGTCCGAAGGCGCCTCTAGAATGAATATTCCAATGATTTCCAGGCGCGCACGAGATTCAACTTTAGTACACGAGTATCTGACCTTTGTCTCCTTCGCAATGTAGTCTTTTTGACTATTTGAAGTGAATACGTTTGACGAGACCTTGTCGGTGGCATAGCGGAAAATGATGGTTGACTTGTGAGCGTAGCTGTTCATTTGATTCGAAGCTTTTGATAGAGATAGTAAAGAAAGTGTTGGAGGAGAGAAGTGTCCGAGAATGATTTGTCGAGAGTTAACAGCCTGTGGACCACTCTCCTCCTCATGACGATCCGATGAATCGGGGCTTCATGCCTTTATTCTTTCATTCGAGATGGGAAATAAAACAGAAAAAACAAACAGAAAGTTAAAGGGATAAAACCAGAAACACTGAGGTGTTCCGTTATCACAACATCAATGTAAACACTGATGTGTGGCCTGTATAAAATGATATAAACATTAAAGCTCTAACATGACTTCCAACCAAACATTATGAAGCATCTAAAATAGATGTCACTCTGGTTGTTATGGCATGATCATAAAGATCAGCATTGAGAAACTTGTAGCCCCCCCGAGGTCATGTAGACACACGTTATCATCACTATAGAGATAAATTCTAAAGCAATGGCCTGAAAACATTGGTGATTCTTATGTAGCAACAATAGGACTTCCTTCTAATCATTGGTCTACATCTGTAATAGATGAGCCCAATGGAAGTTCTTGCAGGTCATAAAGACCTGCAATTGACTCTTAAAGTGCATCTGTATCCTAGAAAATTCAAAACATTTGGGAGTGAGGTAACTAGACACGACGTGATCAATGAACGTTCAGTGGCATGGGGCTGAGGCCACTGTAGTCAGTATCACTTGCCTCAGAAGGAGACAGTAATGAGAGACGAGGTTCGCTGTGAAATATGATTGAACACTTGTATGTTGGGAGATAAGTGAGTCGTCTTGGGCAGGGTTATGTATGCACTGTTGGACAAGATGCAGCGACTTCTACCCGGGATCTGATTAAATCAGTCCTGAACCTATGGGGATTGTCCAGAGTATTTGAGTGACTAAGGGTAAATGTTCAATTGATAGCAGGCAGTTGAGGTAGCAGACTTCTCATTGCTTATTGTTTTCTTTCTCACTTGAGTCTTCTGCTTCCTAACGCTCATAATGTTCACTCACTCACTCATTCACTCACTTAATCTCGGCTTTGTCTCTTGGGTAGGCTTAGTTGGGTTTACTAGGCCATAAGGACATGTTCTCTCATTGATTTTTGTTTCTTGTTTTTCTCTATGTACTCCCCCTCAATCGGAGCACTCGGTATGCTTTGTATTTGTTAGGCACCGGGGAGGAGATCATTGAACACTCCCCCTAAAATGTTGCATCCTTTGAAAGGTTCCTTGCTTTGTCGGTGTAAGGCGCCTGGAGGAGAAAACTTAAACCCCCCTCAGAATGTGCAAGGATTGATTGCTCACAGCTTGTCATACCCGCCATGTGTGTGGAGCAATCTGAACAAGTACCACACATGACGGTTTTCCCTGAGCTCATCATTTAGAATTTCAGCACATTGATGATCACACAATGTTGATGAGTTAGGGGAGGCTTCAATAGTTGATTGTTGTAAAATGAATGTTGACGCGAGGTTGATTGAATTATCTATGATTTTCGGACCTTTGCAATGTATCTTAGACAATATTTGACCTTTGGTTTGATTTTGGAAGAATTTGATCAGATTTGCCTAAATTTTGACCTTGACATCGATGGTTTACAACGTTTCTCGGAAAGCAAACGATATATCCCTCAAGAACGGAGAGTGAGGGCGCGTAGTTTGTGGTTCTGGAGTAAACCCCCAGAATTCATGTAGATCATTTCTATAGCTTTCCAAGAAGGTATGATTCGCTTAAATCGGATCACCGAGTCAAAAGTTATGACCAAAACAGTGCGATGTCGCTGAAAATCTTGAATTTTGAGATATTTAGGGAAATTCTTCGAAGTTGAGGTTCTGAATGTTGAATATCGAGAACAGGTGGAATTAAATAAAATTCTGTGGCAAAACCTCGAAATCCTAGTCTCGAGGTTTAAACTTCAAGATTAGAATCTCGAGGTTTAAACTTCGAGATCTTAATCTCGAGTTTGCCTCGAAAAACAATGAAGAAATCCACCTGCAAATACAAACCTCAAGACTTCGAAATCTTCAGAATTTCAAAATGTTTGGAACATCAAAAACTTTGGAAATTCGAAAACCTCAGAATATCGAAAATTTGCTGTTTGAAAAACATCAAAACATCGAAAACTTCGTTAAAACTTTGAAAAGCATACACTACTAAAAAACTGGCTTACAATGACACTTATTTAGTGACACTATAACATCACTGTGGTATAGATGACATATATGTGTCATTGTTTTTGGCATATTATTATTATTATAGAATAGTGACACTCTTGCTCATACACAAGTACGAAAATTAGACGGAGGAGCGAGACGCTCTATCTTCTCTCTAGCCTTCTGTGATTTCCTCATTCGGACAGCCTGAAGAAAGTGCGGTAGTGATGCCGCCGGTGGAAGGACCAGTCCCGGTGACCTCGCAGGCGAAGACTTCTTATGCATCGGTGGTAAGGGATCCTATCCCAGGCCATCGATTCCATTCTTAGGGTTGCTCACTTACCGACGCAGCTGAGCTGGGATCGTCTGGAACCGTCAAGGGCTTCCCATCCATTTCCTTCTCTGAAAACGACTTTCAGGTTCTTTCCCTCCTATTCTTATACGCCCTGGTCGGCACTTTTCCCTTCGGACGCCCCCTATCCCTGCAATTCGTAAGGCTTTTGAAATGTTAGGGTTTTCTCAATCTTATTCGGTTGGTTTGCTCCAATCGAACATTTTTCTAATCAATTTCAAGTCCGACCTTGATTTCCAAAAAAATGGGACTCCCCCTAGCCCCCATCTGGATTTCCCTTGAGGGACTCTCGATCCATTTACGTGATTTAAGGGCTCTAAATTCTATTGAGGTAGGAGGCCCTTCTGCAGCATCTGCTAGTGATATTGTTATTGTTGGTAGCTCTGTACTTGATGTTCGTGTTGATCCTTGTCCCCCTGATGGTGATGATTGTGTTGTTTCTAAGGTTGGTGCCTCTGTTTGTGATGTTATTAATGTTTGTGCCCATGACAATGTCAATGGTGCTGTGGCAGAACCAGTTACAGCTGTTGGTGCTTATTGTGCCCCTCTAACTGAGACTACTTGTGTCCCTTTTACCTCTGTTCTTGATGTTCTAGGTGTCCCTGATAATACTGCTTGTGATGTTTTTTATGTTGATACCTTTGATAGTCATGTTGCTAATTTCGGTGCCTCTGTGAGTGTTGCTATTGATGTGAGTGCCCCTGAATCTGCTCTCAAAGATGCCCTGGCAGCCTCTATCACAACTACGGGTGCTCATTGTGCCCTTGTGATTGAGAATACCCCTTATGGAGCCTTGGTTTGTGTTGTTAGCCCTGTTAATGCTGCTCTGGCAGCCCCGGTTAAACTTGCAGATTCACACATTCTTGTGGCTTTAGATTCTGAGCGTGTAGTTTCCTATGATGTTGTTATACTGGAAGCTGAAATGCCAGTTTCTGATCACAGTAAAGTGGCACTTGATCCTGCTAATACTCATTCTGCTTCAGTGCATTTTTCTGTTTCAGACGTTCAAAAAAGTCATTCAGGTCCCAAATCGGTGGTCACAGACCACTGTGTGCCTGTGTGGCCCCTAGTGATGCACTGCTTATAGATGAAACCCCAGTGGCCACCCTTAACGAGGCGGTAATCGAGGAAATTCATCAACCGGTCACCTATTATGAGGCCCGAAATGGAAATGATGACATCCTCTCTGATCCAACGCTCGATGATCCAGTTACTACACCTGTCCCAATCCCGTCCAGTGATGAAATTATTTCTGAGGACACCCCAATGCTAACTTTTTCTGTTTCATTGAAGCTTACATCGTCATCTAGTCATTTTCCTTTTAATTTGAAGTTTTGATTTACAGATGTCATTCTTTTCACTTGTGTTCACTTGTGTTCATTCTTTTCACCTG